TGTACCCCGGCCTGAAGCCCGACTGGAGAGGGTCCAGATAGACCGTTTCCTCCAGGTGCCGGGGAAACTGCCGTGCAACCACACTCTCAACAACCTTCGCCACAAAGCGTAGGTTGGAGACTGGACGATAATTTGCCAACACATCTGGGTCCAGGGAGGGCTTCTTAAGGAGGGGCCTCACCACCGCCTCCTTTAGGGCCTCACCACCGCCTCCTTTACTACTATTGAGCAAGGTACCCCCTATACTATACCTGTGCATTTGATTTTTCTTGCCTAAATGTAGAACCTTGCTTTTTTCACCATTGAATTTCATTTTGTTAGATAGTGCCCAGTGTTCAAGTCTGTCCAGATCCTTCTGTATCTTAAGCCTGTCTTCTGGAGTGTTGGCTATTCCTGCCAGCTTGGTGTTATCTGCAAATTTGATGAGTTCCCCATCCATCCCCTGGTCCAAATCGTTGATGAAGATGTTGAAGAGCACTGGGCCCACAACAGAGTCCTGGGGCATCCCACTACACACTTCCCTCCATGTAGATGCGGTTCCATTGAGGACCACACACTGAGTATGGCCGGTCAGCCAGCTACGGATCCATCTGGTAGTGATGCTGTCTACCCCACATTTTTCTATCTTGTCAAGTAGTAGGTTGTGATCTACTTTATCAAATGCCTTACTGAAGTCCAAGTAAATTATGTCTACAGCATTCCTCTGATCCACTAATTTTGTCACTTGGTCAAAGAATGCAATAAGATTTGTCTGGCATGATCTATTTTTGACAAACCCACGTTGGCTTTTAGTAATGACTTTGTTTGCCTCTAGGTGTTCGTTGATTCGTTGTTTGATTATCTTTTCCAGGATCTTCCCAGGTATTGAGGTCAGGCTGATAGGTCTGGAACCTGTTTGATCTTCCACTTGGTGCAGAGTTTGTCTCCCAATTGATGTCAGGGTAGTTAAAGTCCCCCATTACTATTGTGATGTGCTTCCTACATACCTTAGGTAGCTGACTAGCAAAAAGTTCATCTATTTCCTCTGTTTGGTTGGGTGGCCTGTAGTATACAGCTATGGCAATGTCATTCCCCCCCCCCTTTTATATTGACCCAAATGCATTCAAGACAGTTTTTATCATTGTTGTGCTCTATTTCTGTAGAGATGTAGTTATTTCTTATATAGAGAGCAACTCCACCTCCTCTTTTATTTGGTCTGTTTCTTTTAAATAATTTAAATCCCTCTAGCTGTGTGTTCCATGTGTGGGTTTCATCCCACCATGTTTCCATAATGGCAACAATATCATTAACCTGAATTTCTAGTTCACCCTGTTTGCTGTTCATACTCTGTGCATTGGTGTATAGACATTTGAGTCCTTTATGACAGGCCCTGTGTTTACTTTCTACATAACCTGTGTGGTGCCTGAGTTCCCCTATTGTCTTACCACCTATCTGGTTAGTGCACTTTGTGTGGCACTCGCTATTAGAGGCTTGATTTTGTTTGACAGCAAGGTTGGTATTCTTGTCCACACACACATCTATGTTACATGCACTGATAGCCCTATAATTTTTAGATTGCCGGGGACAGGGTTGTTCTGTATCAATTAACTCACTGTCCCCGCAGTTTAGTTTAAATTTTCCTCCAGAAAATCTGTGAATTTGTAGCTGAGTCCCTTTCTTTGATGGATGCAAACCATCTCTTTTGTACATCTTTTCATTGGACCAGCTACAGACATCGTGACTAATATATCCAAAGCCTTCCCCTTTACACCACTCCTTTAGCCACATATTGAATTGTGCTATGCGCTGGCCTTTTCCATTTTGCTCCTTATACACTGGTAAAACCTCTGAGAAAGTAAGCCTACAGCCTATTCTGCTATGTTTCTTCCCCAAGCTCTGGAAATCGTTCTGCACAGAGAGTACATCTTCTAGACATGGTCTAGAAGATAAATGAAGTGGAAACAGCAGTGATTCTCTCTGAGATATATTTTTACTTGCTTTTTACTGTTTAACAGTTGCCTTTGTATGTCCTAATGTCTACAATTGCCTGGGGCAGTGTGGTGACTCAGCGGTTAAGACACTGGGCTTGTTGGCTGAAAGCCAGCAATCCAGGTTTGAAATCTGAGTGCCACACAATGGGATGAACTCCTATTACTTGCCCCAGCTTCTGCCATCCTAACAGTTCAAAAGCATTCAAATGCGAGTAGATAAATAGGTACCACTGGTGGGAAGGTAACAATCTTCTGTGATGTCATGCTGGCCATGTGACTGCGAAAATGTCTTTGGGCCATACTGGCTCATTGGCCTTGAAATGGACATGAGCACAGCCCCTTATAGTCAGCAATGACTAGCGGAGTAAGATCCGCAGGGACTCCTTTACCTTTTTTTAACCTACGTTTGCCATGTATACTTAGCACTGTATGTATTGGAAATGACTTAGGAGCTAGAACTGGAATGTTGAGAATGTCAAATGCCATCTCTCACTGACTATGGGAAGTGTAAACCAGTGAGGAAACACGAAAGAGGCACCAAAATTAATTTGAAGGATGCATATGATGGGACAGCAACCTTACCGATCAACTGTTAAGCAGTTTCAGATGAATCATGTCTTCAAAAGCTTCATCCTAATTCTTACATCCTAGGAGAATCTGAGAGCATGTATTTATGTACATGTGCTTCTTGTTGAGCATCTGTTACAGGTAGTCCTCGACTTATGACCACAATTGAGCCCCAAATTCTGTTGCATTTGTTAAGTGAGTTTTGCCCTGTTTTACGACCTTTCTTACCACAGTTGTTAAGTGAATACTGCAGTTAAGTTAATAACATGGTTGTTAAGTGAATCTGGCTTTCCCATTGATTTTGCTTGTCAGAAGGTCACAAAAGGGGATCAAATGACCCTGGGACAGTGCATCTGTCATAAATATGAGTCAGTTGCCAAGCATCTGAATTTTGATCACGTGGCCATGGAGATGTCACAGCAGTCATAAGTGTGAAAAACGGTCATAGTCACTTTTTTCAGTGCAATTGTAACTTTGAACGGTCACTAAATGTAAATCAAGGACTATCTGTACCATATATTTTGTTTTGTTATAGACTTCACACAAAAAATGATTTAGAATAAAAAATAGAGTTGTTGAAAGCAGATTAATTTCTTGAAAGCAATAGGATGCTCTGTTTGAAATCCAAGATACTAATTGCCAGCTTCTGCTCATACTGGATCATAGCTGAGAAGCATCACTATTGGACACATTATCGCTATGTGTGCTTTTTTCAACAGTTATTTTGTGTTCCTCAGCTTCCTGACAAATCAATAGCAAGTTTGGTAAAGTTTTACTACTCCTGGAAAAAGACAAGAACCAAAACAAGTGTCATGGATCGTCATGCACGAAAGCAAAAAAGAGAAAGGGAAGAAAGGTAAGCAGAGGCAATTGTGAATATGCACTCCACACTTAACTTTTGATGAAATATTGAAGGCTTTTATGCTCCATATGCACAGAATTCCTGTTATCAGTCAGATCAAAGGCAAGTAGCTGATATAATTTGACAGAGTGGAACGTTGTTTTTAAAGATCCACATAATTCTAATGGTTATTTCCCATGAGTTTAATAATGTTCACTTTCTTTTGCATGAAGAATTAAAATATGGCAGAAACTTTGGAAGAATCTCTTAACGCTGCAGGCAAGACTTTCAGGGCCCTTTTGAAGTAATGGAACCATAATAAAATATAACAAAAAATCTGTAAAACGTGATGGCAGAAACTCACATCTTATATATTAAAATGAGCTCACATACCATCCTTGCCCACTCAGTGCATCTTCAAGACCAATGGCTTAAACTTGCTGGAGAGACACTTGATGTAGTAGATAAAAGTCCACCAAAGTCTACCAAAGTGCTCTCTAGGTCATATGAGGATAGTAGGTTGGGGGAAATCTGGATTATGGTACAATAATTTTGTTGTGCTTCTTTTTGTTTTGTTCAAAGCTAGCTCTTTGAAAATTAACACACAGGAGGCTATCTCACTTTTAAGAACAAGCAAAAGAAAAGAGCTTGTAAACTGCTGACATTTTGGGTACAAATGCTACTTTGCTGTTGTGTTCTCTAACATCAGATACTTTTTAAAAACTTCTGAACTTTATTTTGTAGCTTGTTCCATTCTAATGGTAAATAAGAATAGATATAATTACTGTATAAGAATGTGTGTCTAAGGTTCCATGTTTTATACAGTAATTGTACCTGTGCTATCATTTCTTCCAAGAAACATAATAATTACCATGTCGGCTTTAAAACATCTTAGAAACTTGGGCATATGTATTGATTTTTATGATCACGTATACAGATGTTAGAAAGATAGTCTTCTATAATTCGCACTTCTGCTTAGGCTTATTGTGGTAAGCAGTGTAATGCTGATATATTGGTAGTTTTCCTGGTTGAACACATCACTAGCTGAGTGGTTTTATTGCATCCTAATTCATAGAAGGACATCACATAACTCATTGTTGAAGTATCTGATGTTCATATTCATGTTGATTGCAGAGACTATGTGCTTGACTATTGTGCAGGAAGGATTACTTGTTGCTCCATTCCTCCCAAACAAGTTCCAACAAATCCATTCCCTAAAGTCTTGCATAGAACTGTTTTCAATAATACAAACAAATTAACAGAGATTGTCTTACATTATCCAGAACATTGATTCAAGATCCCAATTGATATTGAATTGCTCATGTAGATTGTCTGCAGGTTTAACTCCAGGCAGGTTTGTTCCAGGCTTTGTTATGATTTTTCCCCATATTATTTTTCCACTCATGTGTTCTATTCCCATGCCAGAAATGCTCTATAAGAAAAGAGCTCTGTGAATTGTTGCTCACTCAAGATATGACCAAACTCTTTGCTATGCAGTGTTCCTTTTTTTCCTTTGTATTAATGCATCAGTCAACTTATATCTTGATAAGCAAGTTCCTGTTCATCTAAACTATGATAATCAGCTTTGGAAGAAACCAGGATATTAAAAAGTATTTTAAATGATGGTTGTTCTGGGAGTTGGTAGCCGCATGGGAAACTATGTTTAATTTGACTTCTGTATTTCATCTTATCTTTATTATGTATACCATGAACAGAGGGAAAGGGAAGTTTATTTGGAGGATTAAACGTTAGTCATAATCAAGAACAGTCATAACCTTTTTTAAGTAAATCTTAAAATTTATCGTCACAGGCAAAAGGCTTAGTCATTTGAATTTTTAATTCTGAGTAATAATTATACCAATACCTTTTTCATGGCATTTGAAAGCTTGCATCATATAACCAAAAATTTTGAATGGGAATCATCTTAATAAAACTTTACTGTCTCCTGTGGGCCTTTTTTATATGTATTCTGTTCATCGTGTAGAATTAAATTATCTCATAAATTTAATTTGATTTACAAGCAATTTGCTATAGGTTTGGTCTTAAAGAATCCATGACAATCTGCCAGAATCTGGACTTTATATTAATACTGTGTTCTCTCAGTGCAGGAATATTGATTCAAAATACTCTGAGAGCTTGTTGCTATGGAGATGGTGATTCCATTTGTACAGTTTTGGGAAAGGGGCCAACCTGGCACATGTATGCTTGCATTCATAAACTACATAAACTGCAGGCTTAGGATGTACTTGGTTTGGTAATTGAAAGCCACAAATACGGGTACAAATATTTTAAACATTAAATAAGCTTGCGAGGGAGGTCTGTTTCTGGTTTAATAGCTGAAAGATAGCTGAAATTCAGCAAACAAGCCGGTTTATCCGAAAACATATATTGAAATTGGCACTTTGTCTTTAAGATTGTAACCTGTCATGTATGGTTGCCAATCACTGAAGGAAAAACCTTTATAGAATTGATAGTTATACTGTTTCTTCTAACACCAATAAACAATTCTTCCTAGATCATTGAATTGATGCTTCCTTTCATTAGCAAGAATACCTAAAAGATATCATAAAATAAGCTTCCATTAGGCAGGTCAGGACACATGTTTTCTCAGATGACTAATAGAAGAGTTAAAACACAAAGTAGAAGTGGGAAAGTAAGCCATTTGGGGATTTAAATTTTAATAGACTAAAGTGTTTTGCATTTGCTAAAATATGAATGATACTTAAGCACCACATTAAACTATTTTTCAATTTTTAAACAATTACCTCTTTTTGTAATTTCTTTAAACTTTTGGAACAGAATTGATATTCCTATTTTCAGTAATATGTTTTGTGTTTATGGATTATATTTCTTCGTTAAGGTTATTTGAATTGCCTTTCCATGAGAATTCTTGGGAGTTGAAGGTGAAACAGATGAATCCAGTGACTCGTGGAGCTGAAAATCTGTTGAATCCACTGCTCAGTGCAGGGTTCCTAGTTAAATACTCTAGTATATGGCTACCAGCTCTGTCTCCCTCAGTAATTAGATCTATTATACAGCTGTTCATACCACTGAGAGTTTGACTTATAAATTAATATACATCTGCCTTGTATTTCTCACCAAACAATTATTCTGAGAAATAAATCACCTGGATAGTTGCATGTTGCATTTTATTATATTCAACTTGTTGTAAATTTAGAACTGTAGTTCAAAAATACCAATGCCCCAGTACCATATTCCCTCCTTACTAAGCTCACAATTATTGGTTATTGCAGATCAACAAAGTTTAGTCATTACTGCCCATGTATGACAAGACTAGAAAAAAATTTTTTAGTTAAAACTATGGTCTCTAACCTAATCTGTAAACAATTCTGCAAATGCATGGTTAAATATAGTCTAAATCAGAGCTTTTCAACCGGTGGTACACGTACCACCTGTGGTATGTTGGCACCTGGCAGGTGGTACGCGACCATCCTAGAAAAGTGGTAGCGGGAGAGGGGAATGAGCTGAAATGGCGCAGCACTGCACAAGCCTGAGCAAGAGACGGCGGGAGCTGCAGGGCTGAGCGGAAGCGCCAGAATCAGCGTCGCTTTCCAGCTGATCGGTGCTTCTTCGGGGCTGTCAGGGCTCAGCAGAAGCACCAGGATCAGCGCCGCTTTCCAGCTGATCGGCGTTTCTTCGGGGCTGTCTGGGCTCAGTGGAAGCGCCAGGATCAGCGCCGCTTTCCAGCTGATCGGCGCTGATCCTGGTGCTTCTGCTGAGCCCAGAAGAAGCGCCGATCAGCTGGAAAGCCGCACTGATCCTGGCGCATCTGCTGAGCCCAGAAAAAGCGCTGATTAGCTGGAAAGCGGCACTGATCCCGGCGCGCGCACTCGCATGCACACAAACACGTGCACAGGTCTGGGAGAGATGAGCTGAGCCAAGCCATGCAGAGACAATGACAGGGGGGAGGGGAAACCTTTGCCCACCACTGCCTGCCTGTTGCCACCTCTTCCTGGAGCCTCTGGCAGTTTAAAAAAAAAGCAGGGGAGGGAGGAAGGAAGGAAGGAAGGGAGGAAGGAAGGAGTCAGGGAAGGAGGGAAGTAGGGAACGTGGATATAAAAGGGGGGGAGAGAAACTTCCGGTGGTGACAGCTGGCATCGCATGGCGGCTTTTTTAGCCGCCCGTCCGGGAGCGCGTCAAAGCTTGAAGAGACAGCGTCTGCCAGCTGTCTCTCGGCTAGGAACCTCGTCCCTCGGGCAAAGAGGGGGAGGTGAGTGAGTCCGGATAGGGTTAGAGCTTCCTTTCGCCCCGGTTTTGTCTTAATCCGGGGTGAAAGATGTTAGCTCGCCCGGAGTCTGGACGCTCTCCGCGCCCCGAGACGCCTTCGCTCCTTGCTTGTGGAGCGAAGCCAGATGCAGCTCCCACCTCTGTGATCGAAGGTATTTGATTTAAAATTATAAACAGACAGAACTGAACAGGAGGCTGGAATTGTAATGGATTTATTGGGACTTTAACTTTGAAAATTATCAACATCTTCTTTATTTACTGAGGATTTAAAGTGAGAGAAAATGGCTGCGGATCTGCTGTTTCTCTGGATTACTTTCGCTTTTCATTTTTACTCTCGTCTGGCTATTAACAGGATAAAGATACATTGTTGCTTCTCCGGTTCTGGAAAGTTTTAACCACAATGAATTTATGATGCTTACTGATTGGTGATATTAATATTGTTACTCTTTTTGATGATACTTAAAGAAATTTGAAGAATGGTTTTAAAATGGCTCCGGAACTGAGGGAAAAAAGAAAGAAAATGTGAGAAAGTAATTTTTTTTTTTCTTTTTGGTTATTGCTTGGGATTTATTGAAAATGCCTTTCTCTTTGATTATAAATGATGTACAAGATGCTGTGATGCAAGTAGTCAAGCAATATAATGAGGAAATTAAAGATATTTGGATGAAGAAATTGGAAGAAATGGTGGCATTTATTCTCCAGAGGTTTATAGCAAAGGTTGAAGAAGATGTTATGGAAATACTTCAAAATGAGCAAAATTGTGGAGA